TTCCTGCTTTTACTGTGATTCTTGGTTTTGTTTGAAAATGAGACATCATAAATCTTTATAAGCTCTTTCCTGATCCCCTGAAGACAGCAATCACTACCGCGCATTGCTCGATACAGCTGCAGTAGCTGCATTTTTACTTTTTGTGTGTGCATGAGATTGGTGTTTGGTTCTCCTAGCATGGATCACTGCATGATATGATAGCTATACTGTGCTTCCCACTCACATTTTAAAAAACTCACAAAGAACTGAACGATAGGCAAGGCTTAATCTTTATGGTTCAGTTACTAACTATAGGCTGGTCTGTGAAATCAAAGTGGCTTCTCTGTTGCCCATCTCCTTGGGTAAGGCTTTGTGCAGAGTTCAGCACTGAAGCCCAGCTGCTGAGAAGCTGACAGGTGCTGTTACACTTAAATGAATCCCAGAGACAAGCATGTTGCTATGAGCCTCTGGTCAATATGTAGTTTATGAACTTGAAGCTCCTCTATCTAGCTATTGAAAAAGAGAAAATGTTATTTTCCACAATGTCTGGTGTGTCTAGTAAGTACAGTCAGGCACTGAACTGCAAAGAAAACAAAATTTGTGCTTGCTACTTGACCACTGTTTATGCTGCATGTTGAACAAGACAGGGGTGTTGGGAGATGGTGTGTGAGGAATCAAAGGCTATGTGGTGTGACACGTGCATAAGCTATAAGGTTTTCGATCACCCAGTTTTTTGTTTCAGGTTTTTCTTGATTTTGAACTACTCACTTTTGTTGCAGCCTGAACAATGTTCTTCACAGGGTTATGTATGAGTGGGCCTATAAAAGTTTGCATGATCTTTTTGGAGAGCTGTCACAGAACGCAAAAATCAAAACAATGGACGCAGGGGTAATGCAGTAGTAGTTTATACAGGTGCCTTTGACTTGAGCAGTGAAGTAAGAGGCAGCAGTTGGTTGTCATCCTCTTCCTGGCTGATCAGGAGTGTGAGAGGACTCCTGATCCTGGTCAGTGGGCTTCATGGTTAACTACTGACAATAGTGGGATACTGAGAGTCTGGACTTCTGAATTCTGTTCCGGATCAGAAAGGGAGCTCATTCTCTTGGGCACAGGCTCCTTTTCCAACTTGACTTCTTCTGAGATCTCAAACACACTCCTCCTGCCCTTCTCCCACTTAGTTCTTTATCTTATTCCTGGTGCCCTTGGCTGCTCATTTGTAATCTCCTGGATATCGTGGTCCAGTTATGGCTCTCCTGCCCTGCTGCTCTACATAATTTCTCCATGCAATACTGAAACTTCAGAGAAGATAAGATTTCCATGGCTTGCATGCAAGGTGTATATCTGCCCAGTTCTAGGAAACAGCTGCGTTTCTTTAAAAAAATCAGCTTTAGACAGAGAACTGGTATAGAATGGACTTATCTCATAAGTCAGTGTTTGTCAAATGTACAAGCAGCACGAAAAAAGGTCTTAAAATAAAAATAATAGCTAATTTTA